CTTTTATTATTTTATGCTCTAAGCTAACAAAATTTGACATCTTAGTGGTAGATTTTTATGGTATTTTTTTTTGGCTTTAATAGTGTTATTTTAATACTTATTACATACTAATTGTTTAACTTAGCCAAAAAATTAGAAATATATAGTTGAACAAATTTAAAAGTTTTACTTCCTGATAAAAAAAAAACTAATCATTTAATAATATAACTCTTTACATAGATAATAAGTATAGTTACTACCACATGCTAAACACTAATCAATGTTTGTTCCATTAGGTCAAAAAGCTAAAACATTACTATATTTATATACATTCTTGTAAAATTCTTTAGCTTTATAGCTAGTATCTTCTCATTAGTTCCTCAAAACTTTTAGAAGAGAGTTGAACAACAAAAGAGAAACTTTTTCATTGGCACAATACATATTGGAATGTAGATTTTCTCACAAAGTATGAGATACATATTCTTTTATATAGTAAAGGGCACAACAATGGCTACAATTGATAGTCATCATGCCAAGTGAATGACAAAGATTATCTACTTAACTATAAAAATAACAATGTAGAAGAAAAAATTTATATGTTATTTGGTTAGCCATAGCACATGCTTCTTTAATTTCTTGTAATACTTATTAGTGTTGTCGCTTTATGCAAGTTATGCAACATACATTAATCTATTTATAGTTTATAATAATAAAATTCACTTCTCACTCCAAATTATAAGATGGCCTCAATTAAGAGTTGTTTGTAATTGGTGGTATGAAATAGAAGTAGCAATAAATAAGAACAAAAGAAGAACAACTTAAAACAAGTGATATAAGTAAAATCAAAAAATTTCACATCATAAAATAATTACAATTAATTCACTTGATTTTTATCAAGTAAAAAATCTAAATAAAAAATAAAAAATAAATCTTTAGATAGATGATTTTGATATATTTCTAATGGCATAAAAAACATATAGATTTAAGTTATGATAAATAAGTTATGATATATATTTTTTAAAAGTATTAATAAAAAATATTTAAGTAAATAATTTTAACTTTAAAAATAACTTGATTAAGAAATCAAGAATTTGAACCTCACTAAGTCTCTCAAGTAATATATATATATATATATATATATATATATGAGTGTTCTAGAGAGGCCATGACATCTTAGTCTTATCCTCCTATCTACATCCAAGGCGCTACAATCCATATAGAACTTGTACACCTTTTTTTTTTTATAAAAACTATATTAACTGTTAGTCCTCCTATTTTTTATAAGTAGAACTAATATTTTTTATTTTTTACTTCACCATAATATTGAAAAAAATCCAATTAGCTATCATGGCCTTCAAATATTGCTCTATTTCATCATAATGGCTCTTAAAGTGGTAAAATTCATTATTACTAAAGTCTTTAAAATTGCTCTAAAAATTTCTAATTTTTTTAAAAATAAATTTAATTTTTAATTTTTTTAATATTATTTTTAAAATTATAATATCAATTTAAGATTAATTATTTATATTAAAAATATTTAATAGTAATAAAATAAATTTAAATAAATAAAAAATTTTATTTTCTATATAAATAACTAAAAAGATATGAAATTCTTTTTCATACATCTTTTAACTACTAATTAATATTTATAGGTTTTTTACAAGTAATATATATATATATATATATATATATATATATAGATAGAAATCTAATTTATACATTAGTTTTAATAAATAAATTTTAATATTAAAAAATAAAAAAATACTAAATCAACTAAGATAATTACATCTAAGACTTATTAAGACACTATTCTTATAACTTTTGTTTTTTAACAAGATTCTTATAACTTATAAATCTATTTGAATTCCAAAAAATATATAAATAGTATAAAAGACTTTGATTTTAATATTTTTTATATAAATAATTTTAAATTATACTTTCAATAATTCTACCAATTAAGATCTATTGATAGGAGTGGTATTGTTAGACAAATTTGTTTTCTAATACATTATCTTCATCAATAATCATGCTTGTTATTTTATAGTTGAGTTGTTTTTTTGGATAATGTTTAGTAGTATGCTTAGGTTCTTTATAATATATGTACAATCCTTCTTAATAACATTGAATCTTTCCTTACTCAATAAGAGATTTTAAATGTGTTGCATCTATTTGCATCAATTGTAATTTTGATGAATAAGTTTCTAAAAGCTTAAAAATTATTAATATTACTTGATTTTTTCTTCTCTAATTAAATATTTATTCTTTGCACCTTTTAAAAAATCAGTTGTTATATGCAATGACTTAAGCAATAAATCATTTTAATGAGTTTATTTTTTTATTATTAATAATAAATATTTAATATTAATTTATAATTTATATCAAAATTGGCTGATAAAGACTCTATCATTTCAATCTTTGTTAAAGAAAGAATTTAGTATTTGGCAACACAAATGAAAGTTGATTGTGATCCTTCTTGTATAGATAGGGGTTTTGTTTTTGCTATTCTTATTGAATGATATTTTTCAAATGTGGTTGTAAACACTTTTAAGAATAAATTTTGATCACGTTAAAATTATGATTTTATTTTATTTTTATTTTTATTTTTATCAAAGATGCAAACCAACAAAGAGCAATCATAGATAAAATTACATGTATAAATTCTACTTTATCCATTAACATATTAGAAAGAATGTAACCTTAAATAAAGCTTGATTTGTTGTAGATATCAACAAAATTTTGATCTTATTCCATCAATTTTTTTTGGCAGATTAATCTTTGTCTCTATCATATTTATAATAATAAGTCTTTTTGAATTCACTTTTAAGATTCAATTACTTATTCTTGTCAACTACACAACTTTTTAGTGTAGACATTGGATCTCATTGTTAATTTCTTTTATAAGCATAGAAATAATACTTCCATGGTTGACATTAATAATACATAAAAAATTTGTCCTAAGAATATTGACACGCTTGTGAAGATTTTCAATAGTTGCAAATCTATTCTTACTTCTACTAAGAATATCATCTATAATATATTTATCATCTATCTCTATAATAGACAAATTTAATAAATCCACAAGCCAAATTAGATAAAGGTAATCTATAACCTCCAATATCAAATAAAAATTTCCACAAAGAGGGATAGTCTATAATCAATGTTAAAAAAATAAAAAAATGTTGGTTTAAGGATAAATTGAATGTAACCTTTAAAACAAAATAATAAGAAGTAATATAATCTCCTCACTTTTAAACAAAACAAGAATAACAAATTGATACTCTAGTCAAGTTTTCAAATATATGAATCATATCAAAATAATAAAGTAGCAATATATTCTTATTGCATTTAAAAAATAAATAAACAAATCAAAAGTAGATATAAATTAAAAACTAAAGTGACTATTGCCAAATAAAAAGAAATAAAAGATTCTTGCGTTAAAACAAGAATAAAAGAAATGTATTGACAAGCATAAAGAAGGTATCACTTTTGTCTCTATATATACTATCTAACTAAGAAGCTATATAACAATGTTTTATAGATCATCCAACATGTGACCAATTTGCAAGATGTATATTTAACTTGTAAGGCAAATTTCCCACATGTGCTCCACATAATCAACTTATACTAAAAGTGGTTAATATGTACAACACATGGCTAACTTGTTGGACAAGTTTTTAACCTATCAATGATCTACAAACACTTATAAAGTCAAATCTACATCTACAAAGCTTCTAAGAAGCTTTTCCAAAATATATTATCAAAATTACTTACTTTTATTTCTACCTAAATCATCTAATTTTCTTAATTATTGATGTCCATACTACAATTCAATTAAAAAATTTATAGACTTAGTTATTTCTATTAATTCATATTATATTATTCAAATACAAAACTATGTTAATATTGAAATCTTACTTTGATTATTTTAAATTATATAGAATTATTTAAAAATATAAAAGCTCTTTAATCATTGGAAAAATTATATAATCAATAATTAATTTATTTGAGTCTTAAATTTCTTATTATTTTGACACAAATTGTGATACATATTTGTATGTAACTATATAAATTTGAAGTACATAATAATTGCACAATTGCATATGAGTTTGTTAAAAAGCATAAATTTTGAGAGATTTTGGTATTATTTTTATTTATTTTTATTAAACACAATTCCATTATATTATAGATATTATGATAATATGAAAAAAATAATTATATGTTGTTGTTGTTATATATATATATATATTTAATTTTTATTTTTTAAAAAAATTACTCACCAAAAAATTTAAATGTTAACAATTTATTATGAATTTATTTTTTCAAATAATTTTTTGTATATTATTTTAAATTTCTTATATTTATTAATAAAAAACCATGGTGTTTTTAATATTTTTCTAGTAGAACAAAATAAATCATTGCTGCTGCTTGCAAAAATGGATATTTCGTTTCATTGTAAAGCTAATACTGACTAAATATATATATATATATATATATATATTAGGATTATAAAGGATGAGAACATGTATGTATCAAAGAGTTAAGATGAAGGATTTGTAAATGGATTTGAAATCAAATCCAACTTCTTTTAATGGCTCAGAAGTAGTTTAATTTTGTAAAAAATAACTACCAAGCTGCCAAGCTAGAAAGTATCCTTTATTGGAATTTAATTGAAACGAAACAAAATAATTAAGGATTCAAAACCAAAAAACAATGATAAACAAGTCATGAGCTATTGTATACCCGTTTTTACCATTAAGAATAATTTAATGGTCTGGTTATCTTGGAAAAAAATTAATTTTTAATTTTAAACTTATACTTTTCGTAAATTGAGTTAATAAAGTGCATTGGTCACCACAGTTAGAAGTCGTAGAGCAGTCAAGAAGCAGCAACGGTCTCCCAGGGCATCAGAACTATCCACGGGAAGTAGACGAACGATCCTCAGGAAGTAGACGAAATTCCGCCAGGACGAGGACGAATGATGACGGGGAGGAAGGTCCCGAAGGAAGGAGAAGGCGCGCTGTGTGGGAGCCCTCACGAAGTTTGATTGCGTTGTGTGGGCCCCTCGTGTGTGTGAGGCTCTGTCTGTCGAGTAATTTCCTGTGCATGCTTCAATTTGGAACTAGAGTCTTCCTGTTTTCCTGTTTTTCGGTTTGGGGATTTTAATCCTACTTTTTCACTTGTGTATGTGTAAGCTATGGGGGAGTCTTGACTTCCTTGGCTGAAGGGGTGATCGTTTGTCGCTACACTCCGAAGAACGTGAAACTATTTGGCGACAGCACGCATTTGGGCTGCTTAGATTTGAAGGTCAAGCGGTTGATAGTGCTGATTGATTGCGGAAGTTAGAAGGTGTAGGGAGGAGGTGGTGGTGGTGGTGGTGCAAGTGAGACGGCGAGAGGGAATTTGAAACAGAGGTGTTTGCTCAGTCTGCATCGTTGTCAGGTTGGAAGGTAGAAACCCTATCTTGAGAAAGACCTTGGCGTGCAATTTTCGAGTTAGAGAGCACTGGTCGTTGTGCTGAGGAATTTTGACATCGGGCAGTAGCCGTAGAAGCGGTGTCGCTAGCCAGGAGTCGAGGATTCTGCGAGGGTTGCAGGACCTGTACACAATGAACGCGGGACCTTCAGGATTTCGTAAGCTATTCCTATAATTATGTCTTTCCTTTTTATTTATTTTTATTTTTTTTAAATCGTGAAAGATCTCTCCTGATCAAGTTATATTTGGTTTGGTGCTCTACCATACTGGTCTAGGTTTTACTTGATTGAGGTTAGGACTTCCCTTGAATCCTTCTTGGCATTTAATTCATGAATCTGTGAAATGGTGAATTAGAATTATAGCTTCAAAAAGAGATTTTATTATTATTTCGATTTTGTTTATATGTAAATAGTAATAATATTAGTAATATAAGAAGTACAGCGGTCATTTGCTGCATGAAGAATTTTGTGATTTTATATAATTTCTAGGCCAGCAACCCATTTTATTTTTTTAGCAGCAATATCTTTTGGATTTACAGTGTGCTTTATAGCTTTCTTAAAAGGCACCTGCTGGGGTGTAACGCACGCACAATGCAGCAAAACATGCTTCAGATAAACAACATTTGTCTTTAGCCGCTCAAGTTCTGACTATTGCACCACGGTCTTGCAATTGCGGTTGCAGTTTGTAATTTCTAAATTTTTGGATTGATTTCGAATTCTAGTCCTCTTTTTTGTTTCATATTACAGCACTAATACTAAATTTGGTCAGCGTCTGATGATTTAAATTGTCTCCCCAAGTGACCTAAAATCTTGAGATTTTGGAACTACCGTTGGCTGGCTCAACCAGTTTCTAATAGTTAGGGCTGCGGCAGGCTATCCTTACCTCGATTCGAGTAAGACGTTGCAGGAGATAGTTGGCATCATAAAGTTTGGCTTTTGCAGACAATGCTCCTGTGACCAAGGGAATAGTGCTGGCATGCGGTCTGGCTTCGGTGTTGATTGGCACACAGGGCGGTGCGAGGGCTTTAAGTCTTTCTTATCAGGTGCTGTATTATAAATATTCCTGAAGTATTGATGAACCCTTTTCATCTGTCACTATTCAATATTATGTGAAGCTTAAATGAGCAGCTTAACCGAGTCAACTGAAAACAACTTAGTCATCCGCAGTGTTGCGTGCGTATAGAGAGATTATAATGTGTTCTGAAACTTGCACCGATGTTTTTTACGACCTAGTGTAGAAGCAATTTAATTTAATTCTCATGTTTTAATTTGAACCTGTTCTGTGACAGAAATTTGTTCAAAAGCAACAACTTTGGCGCTTGCTCACGTCACCATGGGTGTTTTCGTCAACACCGGAGGTCTTGTTTGGTCTTTACCTAGTTTACTTTTTCAGAGTATTTGAAAGGCAAATTGGATCAAATAAATACCTGGTATGAATTTTTCTTCTTATCTGGCATCTTTCCAGCTTCGTTTACAGGCTGATGTACTTCGTGATGTTAACCAGAGCTAGGCTTTCGCATCCCGTCGTGCCTTGCTGACGGAAAATGCAGTGCCATGGCTCTACTCTGTGTTAGTCCTTCACAAACTAATCAATGCAAGTGGACTTGCAGTTTTATGTGTTTTTTTCAACAACAACCTCAACTATTCTTGAGGTAGCAGCACTGGCTGTTATACGAGGTACACAAGTATCAGTTTTCTTTTTCTGACTAGACATATCTTGTAGATCGCTCCCTTATTTGACTCTTGTTTGCTGCTTATTTCTGGGAATCGAGCTCTCAGCTTTACTAATGGCGGGAAACGACAGTTGACGTGATTTTCGTAACCTGCAGACCCGACCGCATTGACAGGAATCTTCTTGACACCTGGGCCTTATGGCTTGATATTTGCTTCATTTGTCCCTTTCTTTTTCGACATCCCAATATCCACCCGCTTAAAATTTTTAGGGGCACGCTTTTCGGACAAATCCTTTGTCTACCTTGCAGGTTTGCAGGTAAATCGATGTATAGCTTCGCCTTCATTTGTAGGCACTGTCCTGTAATCAGTTCAATTCGAGTAAGGGGCAGTATTTTTACGCAACCTTGCAAGTATCCTTCTATTCGTGCTTCTTGACTATTTTTACTTTGTTGGGGTTTCTTTTGCAGCTTCTATTGTCATCATGGACGCAATCCCTTGTTCCCGGAGTTTGTGGACTTCTGGCAGGGTTACTTTACAAGTCTAATATCTTGGGAATAAGAAAAGTGAAGGTTGTGATCTAGAACCCTTGGCTTTCCTCGTTCAGCTGATATTATGTTTTACGTCTTTCAATTCAGAAATGTTCTCCTTATATAATCATAATGCACCGCTTATAGTTTGTTTGTACAAGTATCGTAGGATTTTTCTGATTTTTGTCGTTTTTACTGAATCTTTCTTTATTTTTATCACTTTTCAGTTTCCGGAAGGCTTGGCGTCGGCAGCAACGAGGTTGTTCACACCACTTCTTTCTTCGAATTCTACCCTACCAACAACAGTTAGGGGAGCAGCTCCAAATGGTCGTCTACTCGAGGTATGTGTATCAATTTAGTGAAAGTACCTGCAATTTCACAAATTGCTGTCGTATGTCTTCGGGCAACAAAGATGAGCCAAAGGTTTCGGATGGCAATCATACTATTTTGTGGGGTAACTTACAAGCGTCTGATATGAATGAATGCAGCATCGTTTTGCTCCAAGCGCACCGCCTGTGAGTGCACAATCAGAAGTGCATATTACAACACTCATGGCAATGGGGTTTGATCGGAGCGATGCCTTGCAAGCTTTGGCGGCTGCTCGGAATGACGTAGCTTTAGCTACAAACTTATTACTTGAATCTCAGTTGCGTTGATCTCACTGGCTTCGATCTTAGCGAGAAAATTGTGGTACTCTCTGACGGATTTTCACTCGATTGGGAAAGAAAGTGCTCGTAGCTAGCCAGCTGCTCGATCGTAAGCATGCAGTAATCATGGAAGATCTGTTTGCCAGTATGCTTTCTTTCGGGGGTATTTATAAATTTCATGTTAGATGCTTGGGTTAGCTCATTACCACTGGTCTTGTCTGAGCTTCAGTATCAATCTGTGACATTATGAACGGTAGATATTTACTAGGAGAAGACCATGAAGGAGGCACGACGGTATTTGCTAGCAGATTTTTGCTACAATCCATGCTTGTCCCTGTTTTCTGGCAGGACAATACCTGCTCGTTCAAAATGTGAACAGAAAGAACCATTTTTTTTCATATGTAGAGTTGGAATTGTTTTGTTAAGTATGATGTTGAAATCATTCGATACAATATGAAACTTTTGTAGAAATCATCCTTTTACATAAATACATGTATGGATATTAACACAAATATATATACATACACAAATAAAGAAGTTTTTAAATTGGAAGATATTGACAATTTGACTTATTTGACGTATTTGATTTTTGAGTTAATATTGTGTTTAAAGTTTTGATTTGTTATACATCTTTATTTCTAGGGTTTACTAATCTAGTAGTGGATTTAGATTGCTCTACTAGTTTTCAGATTTTTTAACATAGAGGCTTTTACCTGTTTTTTATTGACTATTTTTATTGGTCAATTTTGCTAACTTAAATACTCCTAAGTCCAGTGATATTTTTAGAATCTAAACATTTTCATAGCTTAATAAATACAAGTCATTTAAAATACTAAGATATCTTTTTATTATTAATTAAAATTAAAACTAATATTTCTTTAAAATTTAGAATATTATACATAAAATATATTTATTTAATATTAAAATTTATTAGAATTTAGGAAAGAGGTTTAAAAATACAGCAACATCCCAAAACAATTTGATATGCTTATTTTAAAGTTTCAAGTTGATTTACCTCTTAATTTGAATATATTTTATTTCTAATAGTTTAATTATAAATTTGAACATCTTTTATTTTGTTTTAGAAGCTACTAGTTTTTTTAAAAGAATAAATTGACCTTTCATTATTATTATTATTTTTATGAAGCTTATTTTTTATTTTGGACTTATCTATACTATAAACAAAAAAATAACTAATTTTAAGTGGTATTATTCATACTGCACATACAATATTTAATCTGAAATAATGTGTATTTATACTATACAAAAATTAACTTATTTAAAGATCCATTTGCTTATATAAGATTTAATGCATAGAATTTAGTATTACAAAGATATGCTAAGAGATTTTAATAAGTTTTTCTTTTAGTTTTGAGTTGACTTACTTTATTATTTCAATGCTTGTAATTCTAATGGTATTATTAAGAACTTGGAGTATATGGATGTTCCTAATTATTTTTAATTTTTAATTTTGATTTCAATCTAAACATACATTTTAATTTTTGTTATTTAGAGTTTTGGTAGTTTAAGTAGGTAGGTAGTATAATCCAATATATAACATGATTTAACAATTTATAAGATTTGCAAAATCAAAAGGGACACATAAACATGGACAAGTTAGAAATTTAGGTATTATTCTTTATTATAATTAGAATATTTTTTTACTAAATTTGAAAAGACCCAGATTTTTATATATTATTATAATTTATAAATATAAAATTTTAAAAGAAAATATTGAATTTAAAATTTCTAAATTTTTAAGAGGGAGAGGAGGATTAGAAAGAAGGCTAGAAATAGGAGACAAGAGGGAGTTGGGATAGATGTTGAAAACAATGAACAAGAGAATCAAGATGAGGGTTGGAAATGAAGGACATGGAATTGAAAATGACAATAGAGAAATAGAAGGTTGGCATGGGGGAGGGGAGCTAGGATTGTTAGAAATTTTTTGGATGACTTATTAGAATGGTTGCTAGGGTCTTCTTTCCTTGTGTGGATGTGCCTCTCTTTAAATAACGAATTTTATAATTGATTTTATAGCTTAGTCAATCAATGGTTTTTATAGATAGACAAACAAATAATATTATACATATGTATATAGGTAAAGAAAGAGAAAAAAATATTATATTTTTAAAGCAATGCAATTTTAATAACGATTATTTTAAATATAGATAAATAAATAAAACTATAAAGTAAGAAAATTTAGAATTCAAAATTTAAGAGATAAATTAATTGAAAAAATCAAGGAAAAAAAGTGGATGTATAAACTAGCAAATATAGAATTTAACAAAGGTCTAGAGAGTAGGAAATAATTGATGAAAGAGTTGAAAATAATAATATTAGGTTTATAAATAAGAATTAATGAACCTACAACAAAAGAGATGTTTGAGTGGATAATACTCTAATATACATAAGTATAAAATTTATTCTATATAAAATACCTTTAAATCCAAAAATAATTTATAAATATCATAAAATTCTATTATTATTTCTTTGAACTATGAATCATAGATATTATATATTAAATCAATAATTAAATGATAAAATAAAGCTTTACATAATTTTTTAATCATTTGTCAAAATCATATCTTGAATTGTACAACAAGTTGAAGAATATTTTTTATTTATAATACCACTTACAAATAGTTTCAAAGTTTGCTATTTTTTCTTCCACTTAACACATACTAGAACCTCTCAATCTACAAACTATTTGCAATTACTACCTTTTTCTTCCAACTTATGATTAAATGCAATTCCATTTTAGTGCTTGTTAGTCGATTGGTCAAATTTTTATCTTGGATATAATAACTTGAAAAATTTATTATTGCTTTGATAGTAGACTACTCTAAAAATAATACATTGAGGTACAACAACTTATTTGTAGTATTCAAACATTTGGAATTAAATCTGTATTTTAGAGCTAGAATATGAAAGATATAATTAATATTAATTTCTATATAAGATGAATCTAGATCTATTCTTCAACGAGACCATTTTTATAGGATTCAAATCTAAAATTGTTTATAATGTAGTCTACGAGGCTACTTCAAGAGTTGATATCATGCAACAATTTGGCAAATGCAGCAAGCACTAGAATTTTGGTACAACAATGGCCACCTATGACAACCACATGTTTCTACACTAGTGCAGTAGATATTTTTATTAGTATTTCATTTCTTACATAGATAATGACTACCAATTAATTTCATTTTTATCATGAATAAGATTAAATCTAAGGAAATTGAGCCTCACTTGGCTTCAACTTCAATTGATTGCCTTATATGGTCATTGTTGAAAGTTCTCTTATTGTTTGATAATACATTTATATGATGAAAGTTAAAAATATGGGTTTTATTATAGAAGAACATAGTAGAAAGATATAGTTGAAAAACATGGATAAATGATAGAAAAGTAGTAAATATTTTTAGTGCTAATGTTGCCTTTCTATAAAATAAAAAAACTTCTATTTACTTAATAAGAAAAAAAAATATATATATATTTAAAAAATAAATCATATAAGCATCTTTAAGAAAGAAATAAGAATAGAATTTATTAAAATTTACCTCAAAATACCAAGAATTGATACTTCAAGAGGATAATAATAAATAGAAAATATTTAAATTTGTTAGGATTTGATTTTAATTCAATTAGAATTTTGGTTAGGATTAAATTAGGATTTAATTGAAATTTTATTTAAAATTTTATTAGAATTTGGTTAAAATTTTAGTAAGATTTAATTAAAATTTGGTTAAGATTTCATAAAGAGTTTATAAAGATTTGATATAAGATTTAGAATTTTATTAGGATTTGGTTAAAATTTAGCTAAGATTGATTTAAGATTTTAATTAGAATTTTTTAGAATTCCTTTAAGATTTAATTAAAATTTTGGTTAGAACTTAATTAAAATTTGGTGAAGATTTTATTAAGATTTTTTTAGGATCTTATTAGAGTTTTTTTAGGATTTTTTAGAATTTCATTAAGATTTTTTTAGAACTACATTAAGATTTGATTAGGATTCATCTAGGATTTATTTAAGATCTATTTAGGATTTTTTTAATATATTTTTTTAATATTTTTATAATTTTTTATTATTAAAATAATTATTTATGATTAATTTATAACTTCTTTATGTTTCTTTAGTAATTTTTTTAAACTTCTTTTTGATTGGTCAAAGATTGATTAGGTTTGTTAAGATTTAATTAGAATTTATTTAAGATTCTATTAGACTTGTTAAGGTCTTACTATTTCATTTTTTCATTTACCTTCCATAGCTAATTGTTTGATGCATTCTCAGGTTAAAATTCTCATTATGTAATACCATGCCTGCTTTTTTTTTTTATTTAATCCTACACCTTATGACATTGTTGTTGTTGGTGCAAGTAGTTCCATTGCTAATGTAGTAAAAAAAGATTGCTTTGTCTTGCCTACGTTTCCGAAAAAATAGGAAGTTGTCTCATCTTGGTTGGATTAAAAAGTAGTCTATTGAGGGTGTGGTAGATGGAATGGATTGCAATGTAAGGGCAAGTATTTAAGAATAACATCATTAAGGTTGAGTTGACATGGTAGATAAGATCACAACAAGATTCCATGGATTATTTGATTCAATAATAGTTTAGTTTCAATATATTTGTCAATAAAGGTTTGTACTTTGGTTTCAGTTGCAAAGTCTTATGATTTGTTAAATTTTGAAATAAGTAATAAGCTCGGTTCTCTACATTTTTGTTGTTGGTATAAGATGTGGTGAGGCCAAAGTAATCAACAAAGATTGCTTTGCCTCCTATTCAAAAATTAAAAAATATTGTTTGATTTGGATTTTGAGTTGATTTTTTTATGTAATCAAAATGACAATGCATGTAAGGAATTTTGTATTATGAGCTTATGTTATTATTGTAAATTTTTAAAGTATATTTGCATCTTATTGAATTATTATTTTTTTAATGTATCAAAGTTTGTGAGATAAATTTATTTAGATAGAAGTCATTTATGATTTAAGATCTCTTATATAAAATTGTTTAAAAATATAAACAACCAAGATAAAACATTGTTTTCATTAGATACATGTATCTTTATTTTTTTTTATTATCAAAATTAAAATGTTGGAGTTGATTGGATCTTAATAGAATGTAAAATTTACAATAGTCAATGTATTGTATAATGTATTTGCTGCATGCATCTTTCTTTATTTTTATCAAAAGTATTGAATAATGTATTTAATTTCTCTATTTTAATGTTTCTTAAGCAAGCAATTGGCATAAGAAATAAAGAATTTTGTATATATCTATATAGATGGACTTTCTTTTCATCTCACTGAGATGTTCTTATAGTCTTTATCCAACAAGTATTTTCTTTCAACCCATGTTGTTGTTTGATTCATGACAATGTAGTTTAGGTAGTATTTTGAGTGAAATAAAGTTTGAAAAATTTGGAG